TGATGGTGATGATGATGATTTTGATGATGATGGTGATGGTGATGATGGTGATGATGGTGATGATGATGATGATGATTTTTAAATGCTGTAAAATTGTGCATAAGTAATATTCAATTTAAAAAATTCTGTCAACGTGTCTGTCAAACCGGCGTGTGAGCATCATAGACTGTGCGCATGGATCCCAAAGCTAAAAAGAGAAGAGTCGATAATAAGACTGGACTAAGAATGAAACTTAACATTTGCTTTCAGTCAATGAGGAAGGACTGCTTCACGTTTGCGATGTAATAAGAAGTTTCTATGAGATAATTGTATCTGTGCTTAGAAACTACGAAAATGGCCGCTCGGGGTGGAGTTGAACCTGTGGCTGTATCCGAATGTCCACACTATACCCTGTTCACTCACTCACTATATAGTTCGGGACTATATAGCGACTGAGTGAGTGAGTCAGTGCACTCATTCTGTTGGCGATTCGGACACATGCACACTATTTTTAGCCGCGGCCCACATCACACCCCTGTCACATGTCATTGGATCAATATAATTTTATATATAAATAAAAGTATATTAAAATATCAATATTTGTCTAATATACATGTATAGAATGTTTTTACAATTTATATTCATATTTATGAATTTTGGTTGACGTCTTTCATATTCCCGCCACCTGACCGGCTCCTCTCACACCGGTGAAATGGCACCTCCACTGAATTTTGCGGTGTTTTTCATAACTATTATACAAGTTATCATAATGCGAATTAAAAACCGCCGAACAGAGAGAAGGCGAAGACAGGCGATGAGGCGGAGGAGGAGAATGGCTCTTCGTTCATTAGCAAGGCGTCGTGTAAGTATTGTATTCGTCCTTTGTCTATATAGCATTAGCACCATCTACTGGGTAAATTATAGTACTTTTGGTGTACTTACTAATTCAAAATACTATTCTCAGTCAATGAGAAACACATTAGTCATATACATTTAGACATATTTCAACAAGAAAACACATTGTATAGACACACTCACTTAAAATGCAAGAACATTAAAATATTTTATTGGTTGAAAGAACACAAAACCATAGCAAGGAAAATGGATTAAGTACTCATTTTTTCTAAATGAAAAATGAGTACTTCATTAAACAATAATAGAATTTGCTTGGCCATGGGGCACAGGGCTTCTGTGATTTTTTTGTGTGTTATTAGGTGCGAGTGATGTAAGGCTGAGGGTTTCTACTTCAGTTGTCTCAGGGCAGCTCCAGCTCCCTGCAACACACAATACATTTGGCAAAATCAATGCCAGGGCACAAAAGAACATGACTTCAGCTATATACTCTTCATTTTTATTTACATTTTTAAATCTCAAAATGAAAAATGAGTACTTATTCCTGTGTCTGCACTCATAACTAAAAGTGCAGATACAGAATTAAAAAATGAATCTAGAAGCATCATATTAAGTTTAAGAGAATTTTTGTTTTGTTTTAGGGTAAACCACCGGTGTACTGCCGACTGAACCACCATGTACCCCTACTCAGCATGTACTTAAATGGCCAGTCTGACCTTCGCCCCGATATTCGCCTCACTCGAACCACCATCACCCGTCTGGTTAGCCACCTGAGGAGTGCTCATCACCAGGGCTGGAGCCAGGACATGGAGGTTTTGGTCTTCCTCTTTTGGTTGGCCAGTGGCACAGCGTACCGTGTTGTCGCCAGGGCATTTGACATGCCTCAGTCCACAGTCCACGATGTGATCCACAGGGTGGCCAACCAGATCCTTCAAATGCGTGGCCAAATAATTCATTTCCCTTCCCTGGAGGAACTTCCCCAAGTTGCAGCTGGGTTTCAGTTGCTGGCTGGATCAGCTGCTCTCAATAATGTTGTGGGGAGCATCGACGGCTGCCACATCAGAATAAAGCCCCTTCAAGAGAATGCACAGTGTTATTTTAACAGGAAATTGTTTTATTCTATTCAAATGCAGGCTGTGTGTAATCACCGTGGCTTATTTATTGATTTGTTTGTTGGCTACCCCGGATCTGTGCACGATTCTCGAGTGCTTAAAAACAGCCCCCTCTACGTCCACCGGCTCTATCCCCCAAATGGACACGTCCTCCTTGGTGATGGTGGCTACCCTTGCCTCCGTCAGCCCATCACACTCCCCCCTCCATACAGAGAGCCTGTTCGGAGCCCAGTGGAAGCCCGCTTCAACCAGCACCATGCACGGGCACGATCTGTAACAGAAAGAGCGTTTGGTATGATGAAAGCAAGATGGCGATCCATTTTTTTCCAAGGCACTGGAAGTCCAACCCACCTTTGCAGTCGAGGTGACTGCCTGTTGCGCCATCCTGCACAACATCTGCATCAGCGATGGTGATCTCTGGGAGCCAGTGGAAGAGGAGCCAGGGCCTGATGATGAGCAGGACCAGCATCAGCAGCACCAGCCTGATCAGCAGGACCAGCATCAGCAGGACCAGCATCAGCAGCACCAGCCTGATCAGCAGTGTGGACAGGAGCTGATGATGAGCAGGACCAGCATCAGCAGCACCAGCCTGATCAGCAGGACCAGCATCAGCAGCACCAGCCTGATCAGCTGTGTGGACAGGAGCTGTGTGGACAGGAGCTGTGTGGACAGGAGCTGTGTAGACAGGAGCTGTGTGGACAGGAGCTGTGTGGACAGGAGCTGTGTGGACAGGAGCTGTGTGGACAGGAGCTGTGTGGACAGGAGCTGTGTGGACAGGAGCTGTGTGGACAGGAGCTGTGTGGACAGGAGCTGTGTGGACAGGAGCTGTGTGGACAGGAGCTGTGTGGACAGGAGCTGTGTGGACAGGAGCTGTGTGGACAGGAGCTGTGTGGACAGGAGCTGTGTGGACAGGAGCTGTGTGGACAGGAGCTGCGTGGACGGATGGCAGCAGCACTTTCCACCCCAACATTAATTAAATGTTTGAATAATCTGTGTTTTGGCCTATTTAAATAAAAACAAAAACAATTGAATATGTAAATATCTAAAAAGAAATTGTTGAATGTATGTATAGTTCTTTACAAATGTCTAGTTATGAATGCTATACATATAACACAAGTGCTTTAATAACATTAATGACTGACCACCAGTGACCCGTTTCTGTAGCGTTCGCTTTAGATGTTAATGTTATGATATGCGAAAATGCTAACACTTTCGCGGCATAACATTGGTACGTTGTTTCGCAGTAAAAGGCAATGGTATTCTGACTTCAAATGTGTATTTTGGCAGCTTATCGTCAACAATATATCACGGTTTACAAATTTCCATATTTATGATGATCAAAAACTCACATTTATACCTCATGTGTTGCTCCTGTTCCAACACGTCTCTCGCTGCCTCCGCCATTTTACTTCCGTATAGTGACCACTGCTGCTCACTACATTTTCGAGATGCATTGTGGGAAAATTCCAGTGCACTACTTTTTCTCTCTGGACATTCGGACACCCCTACAAAATGGCGTGACCACTATATAGTGCACTATATAGGGTATAGTGTGGACATTCGGATACAGCCTGTGTCACCTGGATGGGGGCGTGGTCAAATGCGCCTCATTTGCATTTAAAGAGACAGCACCAAAACAGGTTGCTCTCAGACGCACCTCAGAACAGGTGTAGAAGAGCTCCCGTGGAGCTACAAATAATGAGACTCAGACCCAGGCATTGCAGTTACGCTTTATATAGGCCACAAATTAATGATTTAGATGTAAAAATCAATTATTTGAAAACACGATATGTCCACTTTAAGTTGACATCTGCCAATACTTTTGTTGAACGGATGTCACCCAACTTTCTTCCTAAGTCATCAGTAAGTGCAAACGGACTCGCTTTCTTCACACCAGCTTGAGTCTTTTCACTAAATCTCAATACCGCAATAAATGTATTTATCTGCGGCTCCTCTCTGGACACAGACTGACTCAAATCACTGCCACTACTGTCATTTCTAATCCTTTTCCCACACTGCAACTCGCTGCTGTCGAGCTCTTCCTCCTCCGCTTCTAAATCTACATCATTGCCTGCCCAACTGCCACCTCTGACCTCTGACCCACTCACAGACCCCTCTCAGGGGTCAGGGTTCAAAGCTCCCGCGTGTTTGCCTCTTCCTCTACCATCACCCTCCTCTCCCTGGTGTGAGACTTGAACGCGATAGTTTGGCCCCGTCCCAATACTCGCACTTCCACCTCGCGCCCCTCATTTGCGCGTTCCCGATAAAGTGTGCGAGTGTGTAGGGTCCAGTCCCAATTCTCCAGGGAGGTCTTTGGCCCCGCCCCCTTTGCGCCCCTGATCCACACTTCGCCGTAGCCTGCATCTATGCGCACTCTGGCGAAGGATATTGCCCATAATTCTTTGCGGTACACATCAAAACGTCGGGAAAATGCATTTAAATATAAATTTTGAAATATATATGCAGTATGTGTGTTAGAGCCCTGCACTTGAGCCCTTGGCCCGAGGGCCCCGACGGCCCGACAGCCCGAGGGCCGGGCTTCGGGCCGATGACCGCATAATGACCTCGGACACGGGCCGGGCTCGGGCTCTTCATTTTCAGAGCGGCAGAATAGATTTACGAGCGCACCCACTGAATATAGCGTTCTATCACGCTGTAGTGTTTGTTGTTCTGTGTAGTGTTGTCATTGACGGCACATAGCATTACTTATGTAATGTGCAGATGTGTTGCAGCATCGGGGGCATCATACAGATGCGGCCGCTCACTCCGCACACACAGAACTCATTGCAACACATCACTACCATGTATAACTCCGCCCTCTAGCTAAGTCTGCGTTCATATCGGTGCGCGGCACTATATACTACGCTAAAACATTGTTATGGGAGGTTACAAAAAAAAAAAAAAGGCGGGCTTGATGCGGGTTTCGGGCCTGAAAATTCAGAAACCATATCGGGCCGGGCCGGGCTGGGGCGCCACCCCCTCGGGCCAGGGCCGGGCTCGGGCCCAGATAATAGGCCCGTGCAGGGCTCTAATGTGTGTAAATAAGTTTTGCTGTTACTTGGAAAGAAGCATAAACGTCTGATGAAGAATTACGGACATTGTGTTTTAACAATTTAATAACTTTTTAAAACAAGCGTTAATATAACATTCAATTTAAACTTTACACTTAGTACAATAATCTTAGAATGTATAAAAACTGACCAGATAGTTAGTTACCCACATTTAACTTAAAATTATACAGCTATCTCTAATTAAAAACAACTAATATACATGTATTTTAACGTGTGTGAAGCAATTCATTTTGTTTCCCAAAGGGTCAGACAAAGTTACCTTTAATGTTTATAAAGTTTAGGTCTGAAAATGACCATCTCTTGACGAGTCGATGACGTCACCTGCACTCAGTGTGCACTGTCCCAATTCTGCCTTTTTTGCACACTTGTAACCTGCGCACTCCAACCCTGGTGTGCACTTCAAACAAATGCACACTTCGAAGAGGTGTGTAGGGGGCAGTGTGGGTATTGGGACTGGGCCTTTATTTTGGTCCGCGCTGACACATGAGAGCAGAGGCACGCACAGCGCAGGCGCACTCGGCGCCAGGCATGCTGGGTAGTGTAGTTTTGCGGTAACAGGGAAATGCTCGATAATGGGTTTTATTTGCTTTATAAATGTTTATTTTGTATCAAATGTAAATAACTACTAAATGTTTATTTACAAATAACAATGTTCAGTTTAGTGGCAAATAATTTAAAGGGACAGTTAGTGGTAATTGTTTATTTCTTTATTCTTTCCAGGTTTATGACCTGTGGTCAAACATTTGTTCAAATAAATTAATAAAATATGACAAACACGAGTCATGCCATGTGTGCTGCCTGTCGTTAGCCCCTTCGGAGGGCTATCACATAAAAGTCCTCACTCACAAACTCTCTCATATATACTGTACATAACTCAAGATAGACATGTTTCTGTTTCTTTATTTTGTTCAGATTTTTCCACAAACACTTGAACAAATACATTAAAACAGTCATCTGCCCCTAGTGGTCAGATCACGTCACTACGGTCACACTGCAGACCAGAGAGAGCAGAGAAGAGAGAGAGCAGAGAGAGAGCAGAGAAGAGAGAGAGAGAGAGCAGAGAAGAGAGAGCAGAGAAGGGAGAGAGAGAGATAGCAGAGAGAGAGAGCAGAGAAGAGAGAGCAGAGAAGAGAGAGCAGAGAAGAGAGAGAGAGAGAGAGCAGAGAAGAGAGAGAGAGAGATAGCAGAGAGAGAGAGCAGAGAAGAGAGAGCAGAGAAGAGAGAGAGAGAGAGAGCAGAGAAGAGAGAGCAGAGAAGAGAGAGAGAGAGAGAGCAGAGAAGAGAGAGAGAGAGCAGAGAAGAGAGAGCAGAGAAGGGAGAGAGAGAGAGAGCAGAGAAGAGAGAGCAGAGAAGAGAGAGCAGAGAAGGGAGAGAGAGAGCAGAAAGAGAGAGCAGAGGAGAGAGAGAGAGAGAGAGCAGAGAAGAGAGAGAGAGAGCAGAGAAGAGAGAGCAGAGAAGGGAGAGAAGAGAGAGCAGAGAAGAGAGAGCAGAGAAGAGAGAGCAGAGAAGGGAGAGAGAGAGAGAGAAGAGAGAGAGAAAGCAGAGAGAGAGAGCAGAGAGAGAGCAGAGAAGAGAGAGCAGAGAAGAGAGAGAGAGCAGAGAAGAGAGACCAGAGAGAGAGAGCAGAGAGAGAGAGACCAGAGAGAGACCAGAGAAGAGAGAGCAGAGAAGAGAGAGAGAGAGAGAGCAGAGAAGAGAGAGAGACCAGAGAGAGACCAGAGAGAGACCCTCATCTACTCTCGGTGACAGTGGATCTCGTCTGTTGCCTCCAGTGTAAAGATCCTGTCTTTGTTTCTCTGTCTTCATCCAAAGAGCAGCTGCTGGTGCTGCTGGTGTTGCTGGTGCTGCTGGTGTTGCTGGTGCTGCTGGTGCTGCTGGTGTTGCTGGTGCTGCTGGTGCTGCTGGTGTTGCTGGTGTTGCTGGTGTTGCTGGTGTTGCTGGTGTTGCTGGTGCTGCTGGTCCGGACACACCTTCTGGACCAGGCGGTAGTCGCTCCCCGTGAAGGTGATGAAGATGCAGATGACTTTGAAGGGTTTGGCACAGATCCAGGCGGCCTGGGACTGCGTGTTCTCCGAGTAGCAGGTCTGGCCCGGGTCGTACAGACACGGCCGGGTCTTCTTGGACCGGTTGGTTCTCTGGTACTCCACCCTGCAGTTCAGCTCCGTGACCATCAGCAGCCCCTTCTGGTCCGTGGTAGCAGCGCTGGTGGAATGTGGAGGACTACGAACGGTCGGGATCAGGTCTGGGACCAGGAGCGGGTTCTTGGCGCCCAGCAGCTCCCAGCCCACGGCCTCGGACGGCGCCACGATACTCACCGAGATGTTCCCCGAACGTGAGGAGTTGTGCCTGAAGGTGACGCTGAAGGTCCCGTTCACATGGTCCACGATCTTCCCCGTTACCATCAAGCTGCACTTCAGCGTCCGCACCTGGAAGTAGAAGTCGCCCCAGCCCAGGGTCTTCTTGGTCTTCTGGGCGGGTCTGGACTGGGCTTTGTTTTTTGGGCCGGACGCAGGAGGAGGGCGGTACCTCTGCTGGTCCTGAACCAGGGACACGTTCTGAGACCAGTATGAGCCCGAGGACCATGGGGCCTTTGGTTTGGTGGAGATGAGGTCTTTGGAGACGGTCTCAGACTTGAGAGAGGAGCCGTTGAGGTCCCTCAGAGACCGGCTCTGGACCACCGCCTCCGGGACCTGCACGAGACACTCGGGGTCATGAGGGTCGTGAGGGTCTGAGGGTCATGAATGTCTCTCTGTCTCTGTCTCTCTGTCTGCCTCTGCTTCTGTCTCTGTCTCTGTCTCTGTCTCTGTCTCTGCCTCTGCTTCTGTCTCTGTCTCTGCCTCTGCTTCTGTCTCTCTGTCTGCCTCTGCTTCTGTCTCTGTCTCTGTCTCTGTCTCTGTCTCTGCCTCTGCTTCTGTCTCTGTCTCTGTCTCTGTCTCTGTCTCTGCCTCTGCTTCTGTCTCTGTCTCTGTCTCTCTGTCTCTGTCTCTGTCTCTGTCTCTGTCTCTCTCTCTGCCTCTGCCTCTGTGTCTGTCTCTGTCTCTGCTTCTGTCTCTGTCTCTGTCTCTGTCTCTGCTTCTGTCTCTGTCTCTGTCTCTGTCTCTGTCTCTGCCTCTGCCTCTGTCTCTGTCTCTGTCTCTGTCTCTGTCTCTGCTTCTGTCTCTGTCTCTGTCTCTGTCTCTGCCTCTGTCTCTGTCTCTGTCTCTGTCTCTGTCTCTGTCTCTGTCTCTGTCTCTGTCTCTGTCTCTGTCTCTGTCTCTGTCTCTGTCTCTGTCTCTGTCTCTGTCTCTGTCTCTGCCTCTGTCTCTGTCTCTGTCTCTGTCTCTGTCTCTCTGTCTGCCTCTGCCTCTGTGTCTGTCTCTGTCTCTGCTTCTGTCTCTGTCTCTGTCTCTGTCTCTGTCTCTCTGTCTCTGTCTCTGTCTCTGTCTCTCTGTCTGCCTCTGCCTCTGTGTCTGTCTCTGTCTCTGCTTCTGTCTCTGTCTCTGTCTCTGTCTCTGCTTCTGTCTCTGTCTCTGTCTCTGTCTCTGTCTCTGTCTCTGTCTCTGCCTCTGTCTCTGTCTCTGTCTCTGTCTCTGTCTCTGTCTCTGTCTCTGCTTCTGTCTCTGTCTCTGTCTCTGTCTCTGTCTCTGTCTCTGTCTCTGCTTCTGTCTCTGTCTCTGTCTCTGCTTCTGTCTCTGTCTCTGCTTCTGTCTCTGTCTCTGTCTCTGTCTCTGTCTCTGTCTCTGTCTCTGCTTCTGTCTCTGTCTCTGTCTCTGTCTCTGCTTCTGTCTCTGTCTCTGTCTCTCTCTGCGACACAGAGGACAGTCTTTGCCTGGAGCTGATGGTTATTGATCGTGAACCTCATCATTTTAATGATGGACCAGAGGGAGCTCAGCCAAGGACAAAAGAGAGACCAGAGCGAGACCAGAGAGACCAGAGAGAGACCAGAGAGAGACCAGAGAGACCAGAGAGAGACCAGAGAGAGACCACAGAGAGAGAGAGACCAGAGAGCGAGACCAGAGAGAGACCAGAGAGACCAGAGAGAGACCAGAGAGCGAGACCAGAGAGAGACCAGAGAGAGAGAGAGACCAGAGAGAGAGAGAGACCAGAGAGAGACCAGAGAGAGACCAGAGAGAGAGACCAGAGAGAGAGACCAGAAAGAGACCAGAGAGAGAGACCAGAGAGACCAGAGAGAGAGACCAGAGAGAGAGACCAGAGAGAGAGAGCAGTCTTGATTATCTTCCTCATGAGAGATATAGTTTGGTGATGGATTTACGTCCCTGAGCTTTAACTCCAGTGGAGCTGCCACTCAGTCTTTAACACAAATCCTGCCTTTACTGACTTCCTCCTGAGACACAGCAGGTCACCGCGGCAACCGCCTCATCACATCCCCACCCCTTCCGTCCAATTGCTCCTGCTTCAAACTCAGTGTAAGGAATCCTGAAGCTGAGTCCAGACCGGTCCCTGGTGCGGCTCCTCTACAGCCTCAGTCCTGGGTCTACAGCCTCAGTCCTGGGTCTACAGCCTCAGTCCTGGGTCTACGGCCTCAGTCCTGGGTCTACAGCCTCAGTCCTGGGTCTACAGCCTCAGTCCTGGGTCTACAGCCTCAGTCCTGGGTCTACAGCCTCAGTCCTGGGTCTACAGCCTCAGTCCTGGGTCTACAGCCTCAGTCCTGGGTCTACAGTCTCAGTCCTGGGTCTACTGCCTCAGTCCTGGGTCTACGGCCTCAGTCCTGGGTCTACGGCCTCAGTCCTGGGTCTACAGCCTCAGTCCTGGGTCTACAGCCTCAGTCCTGGGTCTACAGCCTCAGTCCTGGGTCTACAGCCTCAGTCCTGGGTCTACAGCCTCAGTCCTGGGTCTACAGTCTCAGTCCTGGGTCTACAGCCTCAGTCCTGGGTCTACAGCCTCAGTCCTGGGTCTACAGCCTCAGTCCTGGGTCTACAGAGCGGTCACACGTCCCCAGCCCAAAAACAAAATGTAAAAGTTGAGCCTGTGCTCCTGGTTGTGTTGTGTGTTCCTGGTTGTGTTGCGTGCTCCTGGTTGTGTTGTGTGTTCCTGGTTGTGTTGTGTGCTCCTGGTTGTGTTGTGTGCTCCTGGTTGTGTTGTGTGTTCCTGGTTGTGTTGTGTGCTCCTGGTTGTGTTGTGTGTTCCTGGTTGTGTTGTGTGTTCCTGGTTGTGTTGTGTGCTCCTGGTTGTGTTGTGTGTTCCTGGTTGTGTTGTGTGCTCCTGGTTGTGTTGTGTGTTCCTGGTTGTGTTCTGTTTTCTTTTTCCAAGTGTTTCCTATCTGTAGTGAGCGTGATATGGCAAACGATAGCAAATTGTATAACCTTAAAACCTACGTGTAATTGATTATAGGGTAGCAGGAAGAGATGGACTGAACAATACAGGAAAGCAAGTCATTAACTTGAGGTCAATTGAAAAGGAACACCAACAAATAAATCAAACAGCAATATGTTAATGTTTATTTATAGATGCAGCAGCCTATTTGATTCGGAGAGTAGCCAAACACGTTCTGTAATATTAAAATAAGCATAGTCCATAAACCAGTGGCATCATGTAACCAACATGAAAAGACAGTTCATAGGCTACATCACAAATATTAGACTGTAGGCTGCTACAGGCCACTCAAATTGAACAAGTGAACGAGAAAATAGAATTAATACAATAGGCCTTTAACTTATCTCAAAGCAAAAATAACTGGCCTATGAATTTTTAAGGTTTTTAAAGATGTGCTTCATGTCCTCCCACTAAAGCCTAAGCCACATTATTTGCGGCGCACTTTAATCGCATTAAAATGTTTAGCTGCTTCTTTAAAGTCAAATATATCCAGCCCCTCGCCACAGCTGGCTATACGCATGATCCGAGTAACTTTTTCCTCTGACAGGCGACTTCTCAGACGTTTTGATTCGGTTTTGGAGTGAAAACCCCGTTCTGCTGGTACGCTGGACACAGGTATGGTCAGGGCTATTTGTCCAAGTTTTGCCCAGTCGGGAAACATTTCTTTTAAGTCATTTATGACCACTTTGCATCCGGTATGAAACGACAACCCCCCATATCCGCGTAATGCCATCATTAGAGGGGGGGCACATATGAGCGGTTGCACCTGCCCAGCAGCAGCCGTAGTGCTTTGTTATTGGCATTACTGCACTCTCAGCGTACTGCTGCAGATTAGCTGCAAAAAACAAAACAACGTTAGCCTCACAGATGGTGCCACTGCCAGCCTATAATTTTCAGTTATGATCGGCTAGTTTTACCATCTTTTTCTGGATATCTGCTTGGATTGAAGACCATGTCGAAGCAGTTCAGGAGGCTTAGATCATCAGTCGGGAAACGCCTTTTCAGCGACTCCATGAGGTGTTCGATGTATCGCTGTCGGGAGCGGTCAAAAACCCGCACATTTTTCTCCGAAGCCTGTGTAATTTTAACACATTTAAACTCGCTTTTTGTTACATCAAAGTCTCTTTTTAAGTTGCGTTCTTCTGGGCCTGCGTTGTCTTTGAGCTGATCCAAAGCGGACACGGAGGCCTTTACCATGGGAGCGATGCTTGCCAAGTTTACGTCTTCCTTTTGGAAACACACATTTAATTTGTTCATCACCGGGAGGATGTCTGAGAGGGCAAAGGTAAGTGCAATAAATCCATACGTCTGTATTTGATTGAGAATGCCACGGGCTTCAGGGTTGTAGCTCCATCACGGGCACTGGCCAGTTGTGTCTGATGGCCTCACTGCGCACTGCTGTTTCAGGTCATATCTCCTTCATCCAAAGTGGCAGAGAGTTGTCGCAAACGATTTCTTCTGGTTGCAGAGTGTTTATAAAAGGTATACACGCTGTTGATGGTGCGCTTATAGTCCGCAATCGTCTTCACCGCTTTGGACGCGTCGGTGGCAGCCAGTGCCACTCGGTGCAGTGGACTTGGAGACTGTACGGGCCCCAACTCCAGAGTGCGTTCCCATGGTTACGCTGGCTCCATCCGACCCCAGGCTCATAACTATGCCTCTTTCTTTTAGTGCAGCCTTCACTTCATCAAAAATACACTGAGCTGTTCCTGAATGGATATTGTAATTCCCTAGGAAGCACGTTTCCACTTTCCCATTGTTTGAGTTTTATATACATTATGAGTTTTTACCGTTTCATCTATTATCAAGCCAACAAAGTCACTTTTCTTTATTTTTTCGTTTACTTCATTAATTATAGTTTTTTCTAAACCCTTTTCCATGTCATTTACAGACTCGTCGTGTTTGGATAAAATGTTACTTTTAAAGTCAGGAGCATCAACACTTTGCATCAATTCCAACAGTCCACAAAACTGATGACATATCGTTTTTATCCATGTAAAAAACAACCTTCATCTGTGAAGGCGCTTCTGTTTGATTGGAGCGTTTATCACATGCTGTTTCATAGCTTTATCACGATGCTGTTTCATAGCTTTATCACATGCTGTTTCATAGCTTTATCACGATGCTGCTTCATAGCTTTATCACGATGCTGCTTCATAGCTTTATCACGATGCTGTTTCATAGCACTTTATCACATGCTGTTTCATAGCTTTATCACATGCTGTTTCATAGCACTTTATCACGATGCTGCTTCATAGCACTTTGTTGTTTCATATAAATGCACAGCAGACAGGTGCTCTAACAGTGTAGAGGCTTTATAGTTCATTGATCCTTTGGTGAAACCGTTATATTTACCAGACTTCTCACAAATGATGCAAAACATTTTGTCAGTCCCATCCATTAGCTCTCGCCTTAACCATTAGCTCTCGCCTTAACCATTAGCTCTCGCCTTAACCATTAGCTCTCGCCTTAACCATTAGCTCTCGCCTTAACCATTAGCTCTCGCCTTAACCATTAGCTCTCGCCTTAACCATTAGCTCTCGCCTTAACCATTAGCTCTCGCCTTAACCATTAGCTCTCGCCTTAACCATTAGCTCTCGCCTTAACCATTAGCTCTCGCCTTAACCATTAGCTCTCGCCTTAACCATTAGCTCTCGCCTTAACCATTAGCTCTCGCCTTAACCATTAGCTCTCGCCTTAACCATTAGCTCTCGCCTTAACCATTAGCTCTCGCCTTAACCATTAGCTCTCGCCTTAACCATTAGCTCTCGCCTTAACCATTAGCTCTCGCCTTAACCATTAGCTCTCGCCTTAACCATTAGCTCTCGCCTTAACCATTAGCTCTCGCCTTAACCATTAGCTCTCGCCTTAACCATTAGCTCTCGCCTTAACCATTAGCTCTCGCCTTAACCATTAGCTCTCGCCTTAACCATTAGCTCTCGCCTTAACCATTAGCTCTCGCCTTAACCATTAGCTCTCGCCTTAACCATTAGCTCTCGCCTTAACCATTAGCTCTCGCCTTAACCATTAGCTCTCGCCTTAACCATTAGCTCTCGCCTTAACCATTAGCTCTCGCCTTAACCATTAGCTCTCGTCTTAACCATTAGCTCTCGTCTTAACCATTAGCTCTCGCCACTCGGGCTTGTAGCATCTTCGAGCTTTTCTTGCTCCTCGGACATCATTTTCATTTGCACCAGATGCACGGCGCTTTTCGGGAGGTCCTGATTCTTCCGTTGGTGTAAAGTCACTTGTAGATTGAGTAGTAGGTGAATAGTCACTTGTAGATTGAGTAGTTGGTGAATAGTCACTTGTAGATTGAGTAGTAGGTGAATAGTCACTTGTAGATTGAGTAGTTGGTGAATAGTCACTTGTAGATTGAGTAGTTGGTGTAAAGTCACTTGTAGATTGAGTAGTAGGTGAATAGTCACTTGTAGATTGAGTAGTTGGTGAATAGTCACTTGTAGATTGAGTAGTTGGTGAATAGTCACTTGTAGATTGAGTAGTAGGTGAATAGTCACTTGTAGATTGAGTAGTTGGTGAATAGTCACTTGTAGATTGAGTAGTGGTGAATAGTCACTTGTAGATTGAGTAGTAGGTGAATAGTCACTTGTAGATTGAGTAGTAGGTGAATAGTCACTTGTAGATTGAGTAGTAGGTGAATAGTCACTTGTAGATTGAGTAGTAGGTGAATAGTCACTTGTAGATTGAGTAGTAGGTGAATAGTCACTTGTAGATTGAGTAGTTGGTGAATAGTCACTTGTAGATTGAGTAGTATGGTGAATAGTCACTTGTAGATTGAGTAGTAGGTGAATAGTCACTTTAGTAGTATTTAGAGTAGTTGGTGAATAGTCACTTGTAGATTGAGTAGTTGGTGAATAGTCACTTGTAGATTGAGTAGTTGGTGAATAGTCACTTGTAGATTGAGTAGTTGGTGAATAGTCACTTGTAGATTGAGTAGTTGGTGAATAGTCACTTGTAGATTGAGTAGTTGGTGAATAGTCACTTGTAGATTGAGTAGTTGGTGAATAGTCACTTGTAGATTGAGTAGTTGGTGAATAGTCACTTGTAGATTGAGTAGTAGGTGAATAGTCACTTGTAGATTGAGTAGTAGGTGAATAGTCACTTGTAGATTGAGTAGTTGGTGAATAGTCACTTGTAGATTGAGTAGTTGGTGAATAGTCACTTGTAGATTGAGTAGTTGGTGAATAGTCACTTGTAGATTGAGTAGTTGGTGAATAGTCACTTGTAGATTGAGTAGTTGAGTGGTGAATAGTCACTTGTAGATTGAGTAGTTGGTGAATAGTCACTTGTAGATTGAGTAGTTGGTGAATAGTCACTTGTAGATTGAGTAGTTGTGTAATAGTCACTTGTAGATTGAGTAGTTGGTGAATAGTCACTTGTAGATTGAGTAGTTGGTGAATAGTCACTTGTAGATTGAGTAGTGGTGAATAGTCACTTGTAGATTGAGTAGTAGGTGAATAGTCACTTGTAGATTGAGTAGTTGGTGAATAGTCACTTGTAGATTGAGTAGTTGGTGTAAAGTCACTTGTAGATTGAGTAGTTGGTGTAAAGTCACTTGTAGATTGAGTAGTTGGTGAATAGTCACTTGTAGATTGAGTAGTTGGTGAATAGTCACTTGTAGATTGAGTAGTTGGTGTAAAGTCACTTGTAGATTGAGTAGTTGGTGAATAGTCACTTGTAGATTGAGTAGTTGGTGAATAGTCACTTGTAGATTGAGTAGTAGGTGAATAGTCACTTGTAGATTGAGTAGTAGGTGAATAGTCACTTGTAGATTGAGTAGTTGGTGAATAGTCACTTGTAGATTGAGTAGTTGGTGAATAGTCACTTGTAGATTGAGTAGTTGGTGTAAAGTCACTTGTAGATTGAGTAGTTGGTGAATAGTCACTTGTAGATTGAGTAGTTGGTGAATAGTCACTTGTAGATTGAGTAGTTGGTGTAAAGTCACTTGTAGATTGAGTAGTTGGTGAATAGTCACTTGTAGATTGAGTAGTTGGTGAATAGTCACTTGTAGATTGAGTAGTAGGTGAATAGTCACTTGTAGATTGAGTAGTTGGTGAATAGTCACTTGTAGATTGAGTAGTTGGTGAATAGTCACTTGTAGATTGAGTAGTAGGTGAATAGTCACTTGTAGATTGAGTAGTTGGTGAATAGTCACTTGTAGATTGAGTAGTTGGTGTAAAGTCACTTGTAGATTGAGTAGTTGGTGAATAGTAGATGTTTTCTTGAAGAAATGAGCGAGAGACGATTGCTTCGACATTGTTAGCGTAGGTTTCAAATCTCGCGCCGCGAACCAGAGAGCGTTAACGACGTCATGGTGCGCTAATGCTAATGCTAATGCTAGGCATTCACGACCACCTTTTAAACCACAAGCCTTTAAAACGACCACATTTATTGATTTGTCTGATTTAAGTGATTTATTTATTGCATAGTGATAATAATGATAATTATAATTTTTATTGTAACTTAATTTTTTTTTTTTCAATCAGCCAACGTGGCCGACGGCACTTTTTTTTCTCGGCCAAAGACATATTTTACCGGCCAAAAGCTAAGCCGGCTAACGGGAACCCTGCCCAGGACTGAGGCCGTAGACCCAGGACTGAGGCCGTAGACCCAGGACTGAGGCCGTAGACCCAGGACTGAGGCCGTAGACCCAGGACTGAGGCCGTAGACCCAGGACTGAGGCCGTAGACCCAGGACTGAGGCCGTAGACCCAGGACTGAGGTCTTACCTGGCGACGTGGGAGCAGGCGTCCACCAGAACCGTCTCAAAGTCTTTGGTGAACTCCGGGCCTTTCTTTTTGCTGTTCTGGATCACGTCATTCGCCAAATACAGAAACGTCAACTTTCGACTGGATTTAGCTGAAAACACAAAAGCAAACCTTGAAAAACTGCATGGACTGAAACTATCAAACAAATGCAGAGCGACTGAGACGTCTCTTAAAAATGACAATGAGACTTGACTTTGTCGTTTCATGTTTTAGAAATATCTTGTGGAAAATATGAAGAAAAATGAAGTATTTAAAATGTTTCCCTGTAACTCCCTAAGTGACCACCAGAGGGAGCACCACAGTGTTTCTTTGTCTGAGAATGACCAGCTGCAAACACGTAGAATATCCTCATTTCACTTCAGAAATACTTGGTTTTAAAACTGGTCTTTCCGGGTCCATCTCACCGGGCCCCGCTGGAGCCGGGCCCCGCTGGAGCCGGGCCCCGCTGGAGCCGGGCCCTGCCGGAGCCGGGCCCCGCTGGTCTGAACATGATCTTTGAAATGACGAGACTGTGGATACAATCTCCATGTGAGTTTCCTCCAGAAGTGGTACAGGGCGAGCTCGGAGTAGAGCTATTGCTCCTCCATGTGGAAAGGAGCCAGTGGAGGTGGCTCATCTGTTTGGGACGCCTCCTGGCCCCTCCCTAAGGAGGTGTTCTGGGCGTGTCCCACAGGAGGAGACAGGTGTCTCTGCTCAGGGACAGTTACAGTAACTAGTTTTTCTTTAAGTCAAATACAGACTGAACACACTCAAAGTCCTTTCACACACACACACACACACACACACACACACACACACACACACACCTCTCTTCAGCTCTCGGTGCCAGACTTTGACGATGAGGCCCGAGTGTTTGCGGTGGTGGATGATCCACAGAGACAGGGTCTGCACACTCTGCTGAGAGCTGCTGAGCTCCGTCAGCTTCTTCTCCAGCGCGGACTCCGAGAAGGACGCCATGCTGTGGTCTGACCCCCGAACCGAGTCCCAGCCCCCGGACCCCCAGCAGACCGTGTGGACCCGCAGCAGACCGTGTGGACCCCCAGCAGACCGTGTGGACCCGCAGCAGACCGTGTGGACCCCCAGCAGACCGTGTGGACCCGCAGCAGACCGTGTGGACCCGCAGCAGACCGTGTGGACCCGCAGCAGACCGTGTGGACCCCCAGCAGACCGTGTGGACCCGCAGCAGACCGTGTGGACCCCCAGCAGAGCAGCAGACCGTGTGGACCCGCAGCAGACCGTGTGGACCCGCAGCAGACCGTGTGGACCCCAGCAGACCGTGTGGACCCGCAGCAGACCGTGTGGACCCGCAGCAGCACCGGTGGACCCAGCAGACCGTGTGGACCCGCAGCAGACCGTGTGGACCCGCAGCAGACCGTGTGGACCCCGCAGCAGACCGTGTGGACCCGCAGCAGACCGTGTGGACCCGCAGCAGACCGTGTGGACCCGCAGCAGACCGTGTGGACCCGCAGCAGACCGTGTGGACCCGCAGCAGACCGTGTGGACCCGCAGCAGACCGTGTGGACCCGCAGCAGACCGTGTGGACCCGCAGCAGACCGTGTGGACCCGCAGCAGACCGTGTGGACCCGCAGCAGACCGTGTGGACCCGCAGCAGACCGTGTGGACCCGCAGCAGACCGTGTGGACCCGCAGCAGACCGTGTGGACCCCGCAGCAGACCGTGTGGACCCGCAGCAGACCGTGTGGACCCGCAGCAGACCGTGTGGACCCGCAGCAGACCGTGTGGACCCGCAGCAGACCGTGTGGACCCGCAGCAGACCGTGTGGACCCGCAGCAGACCGTGTGGACCCGCAGCAGACCGTGTGGACCCTCAGCAGACCGTGTGGACCCCGCAGCAGACCGTGTGGACCCGCAGCAGACCGTGTGGACCCGCAGCAGACCGTGTGGACCCTCAGCAGACCGTGTGGACCCTCAGCAGACCGTGTGGACCCGCAGCAGACCGTGTGGACCCGCAGCAGACCGTGTGGACCCGCAGCAGACCGTGTGGACCCGCAGCAGACCTGTTTGTTTACTGCTAGCTTTAGCCGTAGCCTCCGCCGCTTCACGAACCTCTGAAAACGAGCGAATTCCCTGCGATTAAAAACGAAGCGAGCGGTCACAGTTCAGAGAAGGACAGACCAGATCTTATGAAGCACGAGACCGACACTTTTCCTCTGATCCAGAAACAAGCTGGACACTAATCCAAAAGATGGCAGCTCGTACTTTCGCCTCAGCGTGTGCGTCGCCTGCTTATGACGTCAGCACAAGCGACAACTGAGTAGTTTTTCTCCCAGCTTGTTTTTCTTTGATGCTCCATTTCACTCTACTCTACTCTACTCTACACTACTCTACACTACTCTACTCTACTCTACTCTACACTACTCTACTCTACTCTACTCTACACTACTCTACACTACTCTACTCTACTCTACTCTACACTACTCTACTCTACTCTACTCTACACTACTCTACTCTACACTACTCTACACTACTCTACTCTACACTACTCTACTCTACTCTACTCTACACTACTCTACACTACTCTACTCTACTCTACTCTACACTACTCTACACTACTCTACTCTACTCTACTCTACACTACTCTACACTACTCTACTCTACTCTACTCTACACTACTCTACTCTACTCTACTCTACTCTACACTACTCTACACTACTCTACTCTACACTACTCTACTCTACACTACTCTACTCTACTCTACTCTACACTACTCTACTCTACTCTACTCTACTCTACACTACTCTACTCTACTCTACTCTACACTACTCTACTCTACACTACACTACTCTACACTACTCTACACTACACTACTCTACACTACTCTACTCTACTCTACACTACACTACACTACACTACTCTACTCTACTCTACACTACTTTACACTACTCTACACTACTCTACTCTACTCTACACTACTCTACACTACACTACTCTACACTACTCTACTCTACACTACACTACACTACTCTACTCTACTCTACTCTACTCTACTCTACACTACACTACACTACTCTACTCTACTCTACACTACACTACACTACTCTACACTACTCTACTCTACACTACACTACACTACTCTACTCTACTCTACTCTACACTACACTACTCTACACTACTCTACACTACTCTACACTACTCTACTCTACTCTACTCTACACTACTCTACACTACTCTACACTACACTACACTACTCTACACTACACTACACTACACTACTCTACTCTACACTACTCTACACTACACTACACTACACTACTCTACACTACACTACTCTACACTACACTACTCTACTCTACACTACACTACACTACACTACACTACTCTACACTACACTTCACTACACTACTCTACTCTACTCTACTCTACACTACTCTACTCTACTCTCTACACTACACTACACTACTCTACTCTACTCTACTCTACACTACTCTACACTACACTACTCTACACTACTCTACTCTACACTACACTAGACTACTCTACTCTACACTACACTACACTACTCTACTCTACTCTACACTACTCTACTCTACACTACACTACTCTACTCTACACTACTCTACTCTACACTACACTACACTACACTACACTACACTACACTACTCTACACTACACTTCACTACACTACTCTACTCTACTCTACTCTACACTACTCTACTCTACTCTACTCTACACTACACTACACTACACTACACTACTCTACACTACTCTACTCTACTCTACTCTACACTACACTACACTACACTACACTACACTACTCTACACTACACTTCACTACACTACTCTACTCTACTCTACTCTACACTACTCTACTCTACTCTACACTTCACTACACTACTCTACTCTACTCTACTCTACACTACTCTACACTACACTACTCTACACTACTCTACTCTACACTACACTAGACTACTCTACTCTACACTACACTACACTACTCTACTCTACACTACTCTACTCTACTCTACACTACACTACACTACTCTACTCTACTCTACTCTACACTACTCTACTCTACTCTACACTACTCTACTCTACTCTACACTACTCTACTCTACTCTACTCTACTCTACTCTACCCTACTCTACACTACACTACACTACTCTACACTACTCTACACTACTCTACACTACTCTACTCTACTCTACTCTACTCTACACTACTCTACTCTACTCTACACTACACTACACTACACTACACTACACTACTCTACTCTACACTACACTTCACTACACTACTCTACTCTACTCTACTCTACTCTACTCTACTCTACTCTACTCTACACTACACTACTCTACACTACACTACTCTACACTACTCTACTCTACTCTACTCTACACTACACTACACTACACTACTCTACACTACACTACACTACACTACACTACTCTACTCTACACTACACTTCACTACACTACTCTACTCTACTCTACTCTACTCTACTCTACTCTACTCTACTCTACACTACACTACACTACACTACTCTACTCTACTCTACTCTACTCTACTCTACTCTACTCTACTCTACACTACACTACACTACACTACTCTACTCTACTCTACTCTACTCTACTCTACTCTACACTACTCTACTCTACACTACTCTACTCTACTCTACTCTACACTACTCTACTCTACTCTACTCTACACTACTCTACTCTACACTACTCTACACTACTCTACACTACTCTACTCTACTCTACTCTACACTACTCTACACTACTCTACACTACTCTACTCTACACTACTCTACTCTACTCTACACTACTCTACACTACTCTACTCTACTCTACTCTACACTACTCTACTCTACTCTACTCTACACTACACTACACTACTCTACTACTACACTACTCTACACTACTCTACTCTACTCTACACTACACTACACTACTCTACACTACACTACACTACACTACACTACTCTACTCTACACTACACTTCACTACACTACTCTACTCTACTACTCTACTCTACACTACTCTACTCTACTCTACTCTACACTACACTACACTACTCTACTCTACTCTACTCTACTCTACTCTACTCTACTCTACTCTACTCTACACTACACTACTCTACTCTACTCTACACTACTCTACTCTACTCTACACTACTCTACTCTACACTACTCTACTCTACACTACTACTACTCTACTCTACACTACTCTACTCTACTCTACTCTACACTACTCTACACTACTCTACACTACTCTACTCTACTCTACTCTACACTACTCTACACTACTCTACTCTACACTACTCTACACTACTCTACTCTACACTACTCTACTCTACTCTACACTACTCTACACTACTCTACTCTACTCTACACTACTCTACTCTACTCTACACTACTCTACTCTACTCTACTCTACATACTACTCTACTCTACACTACTCTACTCTACTCTACTCTACACTACTCTACACTACTCTACACTACTCTACTCTACTCTACTCTACACTACTCTACTCTACACTACACTACTCTACACTACTCTACACTACACTACTCTACACTACTCTACTCTACACTACACTACACTACTCTACACTCTACTCTACTCTACTCTACACTACTCTACACTACTCTACACTACTCTCTACTCTACTCTACACTACTCTACTCTACTCTACTCTACTCTACTCTACTCTACACTACTCTACTCTACTCTACTCTACTCTACTCTACTCTACACTACACTACTCTACTCTACTCTACTCTACTACTACACTACACTACTCTACACTACTCTACTCTACACTACACTACACTACTCTACTCTACTCTACTCTATACACTACACTACTCTACACTACTCTACTCTACTCTACACTACTCTACTCTACTCTACTCTACTACTCTACACTACTCTACTCTACACTACACTACACTACTCTACACTACACTACACTACTCTACTCTACTCTACTCTACTCTACACTACACTACACTACACTACTCTACTCTACACTACACTACTCTACACTACACTACTCTACTCTACTCTACACTACTCTACACTCTACTCTACACTACTCTACTCTACACTACACTCACTACACTACTCTACTCTACTCTACTCTACACTACTCTACTCTACTCTACTCTACACTACACTACACTACTCTACTCTACACTACTCTACACTACACTACTCTACACTACTCTACACTACACTACACTACTCTACTCTACACTACACTACACTACTCTACTCTACTCTACACTACTCTACTCTACACTACACTACTCTACTCTACACTACTCTACTCTACTCTACACTACACTACACTACACTACTCTACTCTACTCTACACTACACTACACTACACTACTCTACTCTACTCTACACTACTCTACTCTACTCTACACTACACTACACTACTACACTACTCTACTCTACACTACACTACTCTACACTACTCTACTCTACTCTACACTACACTACTCTACTCTACTCTACTCTACACTACACTACTCTACTCTACTCTACTCTACACTACTCTACTCTACTCTACTCTACTCTATATTACTCTACACTACTCTACTCTACTCTACTCTACACTACTCTACTCTACTCTACACTACTCTACTCTACTCTACTCTACTCTACCCTACTCTACACTACACTACACTACTCTACACTACTCTACTCTACTCTACACTACTCTACTCTACTCTACACTACTCTACACTACTCTACTCTACTCTACTCTACTCTACACTACACTACACTACACTACACTACTCTACTCTACTCTACACTTCACTACACTACACTACTCTACTCTACTCTACACTACTCTACTCTACTCTACTCTACACTACACTACTCTACACTACTCTACTCTACTCTACTCTACTCTACTCTACACTACTCTACACTACTCTACTCTACTCTACACTACACTACTCTACTCTACTCTACTCTACTCTACCCTACACTACTCTACTCTACTCTACACTACTCTACTCTACTCTACTCTACACTACACTACACTACTCTACTCTACTCTACTCTACTCTACTCTACTCTACTCTACACTACA